TAAAATTACGTGTTGGTCCATGTTTCTGATTTTCTTTCAAAAATACCAACAGAACTCAAATTTTCATCCATTTTTTTCAAAATTATTTTCAATTAAATCCTCCATCAATTTTATTTTATTTTTACTCTAAATTAAATAAAAAAATACAATAAAATAAAATAAATTAATAAAAATTATATTTATTAATTATTTAATTAGAATAAAAAATTTGTGGGTGTTACAATGTTAATTTGATTTTGTTTTTCTTTTTTTCTTTTTCAAGTTCTACACAAAAATAAGTTGTTCTTTTGTTTTGAATTTAATCATTGGTTGATTATCTTGTACTGATTTTTCGTTGATAGTGTATTTAATTTGGAGTTTGACCTCTGATTTTTTCCCTTCACACTAAAAGGTTTTCCATGTAAAATTTAATTTTTCAGTTATTATATACTTACTATCTTTATTCTGTAGTGCATCAATTTGGCATAGGATTATTGTTATTAATTCATGCTAATTAATTTGGGATTGACTTAATCTACACAATTAATTTTATTTTTGTTCGGGACTCAACAAACAGGCTATCGAGTATATAAATAATTATTTTTCTTTTTTATATTTTGACATGGGAATTTTGGGATGAGATTGTTAGAATTTGTTTGATAAATAAGTCTTATATACTTGTGGGATTTTCTCATGAATATGTGGTGTTATAGCGTGGTTAAATTTCAAGTTTAAGGTGTTATAATATTAATAAATATAAATAATATATATTAGTATATACATTAAATGATATAATATAAATATCAATTGTACTTATATTAATATAAAAAATGATGGAATAATCCGTAAATCCAATCTAGTATGAAAAAAGTTTAAAAAAATAATAATAATAATAATCAAATTGGTCAGAGTTTGGAGTAGATTTGGGTTTACTTTTTATAGAAACTGGGGTTAGATTTAAATTTGGCACAAGAACTCACCCTGTTGTCATTTCTGTTTTTCTTATGCATAGAATTTTTCTCCTCCACCTCCATTCTTGTCCCAATCGTGAGCATGGATTTACCATGGAGATTTTTTTCTTCAATCTAAACTCTACAAACAATATAGAAACATGAGAAAAGTTTCCAATAAGTGATTATTATAAGATATAATTCTGTGGTAACTCAAATATTTAACTTGAAGTTTAAAGAAAATAAATAGTTTGCAAAAATTAATAACCTACACATGGAAAAGGTTGCCTGTATTTTAGGAAGGGATTTTGCTTGGAACATTTGAATACGTACCCACAAAAAGGAATATGGGCAATGTGGAATTTCCCTCCCTCCTTCAAATAATAGCATTCCTTGAAACATGGTTTGCCGTTTAGAAAACTCGTGAGAAAGATGAGTGCTTTCCTCATCTCACTTGATAAATACCATTTGGTTTTCTACTAATTTCTAATTACTCGAACCTCAATAAATTCTTATAATTTTTTTACCCTTTTTTTCTTCTGTGTGTGTATATATATATATATATATATATAGATACATTCATCGTGTTCAAGCTTCCCTCCGAGAGAGAAGCCGTGGTTAATTTATTTGGTGGTTGATTAATAAGCCATGGCTTTCCATTGTAGAACAGAAGCTGCTAAATTCCTTGGTGTGGGAATTGGTATCTTTTGCACGCTTTTGGCTTTTAGTTTTGCAGAGCTTGAGAGGGTTAAACACCCAATTAAGAAAGATGGGTCACTTAGTTTTTTGGTGATTGGAGATTGGGGCAGATCAGGTTCTTATAATCAATCTGAAGTGGCCTTCCAGGTAACTAATTTACTATTTTTTGCTTATAAAATCTTGTTATGAGTGATATGTACGCATCATTTAATTAATAAAAGATGTAAATTTTTACTCAAAAATTAGATGCTGGTCAAGTTTATGGATTAATTAATGAGTGAAGAAGATTGATTTGATTATCCCTAGTTACAAATGTAATTACGCTGGCAGATGGGAAGAATTGGAGAGCAATTAGATATAGATTTTGTGATTTCAACAGGAGATAATTTCTATGAAGATGGGTTGAAAAGTGTAAGTGACCCATTATTCAAGGATTCCTTTTCAAAAGTTTACACAGCCCAGAGCCTGCAAAAGCCTTGGTACAGCAGTAAGTCTAATTGGTTTAATCTAACATTGATTATAAATATGTATTATTATAACTTTTACCATTGGGAATTTTAATTACCGATGATTTTCTTCTTTCGTTTTTTTATTATTACAGTTTTAGGAAATCATGACTACAGGGGTAATGTAGGAGCACAATTAAGCCCTGAACTGAGAAAGATTGATAGTCGTTGGTTTTGTCGTAGGTCTTTTATTCTTAAATCAGGTAATTTATTTTTTATTTCTGCACAATTTTCTTTATCTTTTCTCTCAATTTTTTTAACTTCTAATTAAATTACATCTACATAATTATAGATATTGCGGAATTTTTCTTCGTCGATACAACTCCATTTGTCGATGATTATTTCTATGATCCGGAGCACATATATCATTGGAAGGGCGTGATGCCTCGAACCTCTTACCTTACCTCACTTCTCAGGGTAAATATTTAATTTATTAAGAAATATTATTTTCTATTTTTAAAAAAATAATAATAATTATGTGTTATAGTTTTGATTAAAACTTTGTAGGATTTGGAAAAAGCACTGAGAGAGTCAAACGCAAAATGGAAAATTGTTGTGGGTCACCATGCAATTAGAAGTGCAGGGCATCATGGGGATACAAGGGAGCTTATACAGCTTCTTCTTCCAATGATGAAAGTAAAATTTCTCACTTCCAAAATATATATATATATACACGTATGTATAATTAATTCTGCATATATATATATAATACATAACCATATTCCCTTTTCAAATTCTCAGGCCAACAATGTTGATATGTACATGAACGGGCACGACCATTGTCTAGAGCATATTACTAGCCATGATAGGTAAAATAATAACACCAACAATCATGATAACAATGTTTAAAAACTGTATCTACATAAATATATATATATTTTTTTCTAAATTTACAAATTAAACAGAAATTTTGTAATAAAAATTGCAGTTCAATTCAGTATTTGACAAGTGGCGGGGGTTCGAAGGCATGGAGGGGTGATGTCAAACATTACAATCGACTGACCACGAAATTCTTTTACGACGGACAAGGATTTATGTCAGTGAAGCTAAGCGAAGAGAACGCCCATATTCTGTTCTACGATGTTTTTGGCAACACTTTACATGAGTGGAGGCTGACAAATGAGCTTCTCTCCGACATGTAAATTTCTGCTGAGAAGCAAGCTGGCCAAAATTTGCACCGTTGTTGTTTTCCTTCCCCCCCCCTTTTTTTTTTTTACTCTGTAATATAAACATTTTTTCATACGACACATCACATGCAAGAAGGTGTTGGTGTAAGAATACACGGACAATGGCATGTTTTGTTTTTCTTTTGTTACTGTATATGTGTGTGTGTGCGCGTATATATCTAGGTATGCATATATGTATGTAAAGTATGAGATTAGTAAAGAAGGAAATACAAGTTGATTTTCTTCCAAACTCCATTCCCACGAAAATTTGATCATGCGGCCTATATGTACGTGCTGGATATATTTAAGCCAAGAAGAGAGCTTCATATGTTCTCCTTCATGAGCTCCGAACTCGTTGATTGAAAAACAAACCCAAGAATCCATCCGGACCCATTGATAGAAATACACACAATATATTACATTATACTAAAGAAATTTACCCGAATCAAAAATTTGCAAATGAATTTAAGAACCTTAAAATTTAAAGGACCTCGAAATTAAAAATATAAAATCCTAGAAATCAATCATTATAATAGGGAAAAAGCAAATGTCACTCCGGCTCTTATTTCTTTGATCTCGGTAAAACACAGATATAGAGTAACCAAAACAAATTCAAGTTTAAAAAAATTAAACTCAAAGTCTTCAATTATTCTGAATGCGTTTGTTGATAGCTGCGACCGTATAATAATGCAATGACAGTGTCTAACAAGTGCAAGCCCGTATGATTGATTCATATATATGATATAATATTGGAAGTATCCGACACGTGAAGACCCATGTGAAAGTGGGAAGGAGATTATAGGATCCGTTTCTCCTTTTTATGATATTTCCTATATATTTATATATACGTGTGTGTGTGTGTGTGTGTGTGTATATATATATATATATAGGGTTTTAAATTACGGCCACTCCAATATTTTAATTGATTTAAATGGTGTTTGTGTTGTTTAATTGATTTGGGTGAGGATATGGTAGTAAGATTTTGAGAATTCTCATACGCAATTTGCAACGATGCAAATATATTTTGGATACGGCAGTTGCAATGGAACATGCAAAAGCTTTTGATTTTGTAACCCATCACCATTCAAAATGGATAAACCTAACCCTCTTACTCTTCCTTCAAATCAAATGCGTCGTCGTTTTCTCCCACATCATCAACATGTGACACATGACCTCATTTCATTCCCTCTAATTCGCTATCGTTGAGAATTATAACCACTTGAGAATTAACCACCATGTATCAAAACCCAATTTTTCCAAAACATAAAAGGCAAGTCCGTGGATTCACTTGCAAAACTATGTGCTGCATCAATTATATACATGTGTTTTTGTGTATATATATATGTATGTTATTAATTTTATATTTTCTAAAAACTTATTTAAATTTATTAGTAATACAAAAATATTGATTTAAAAATTCACATTCACTTTGTATTTTAATACTCTGAAAGTATCAAGTGAATTTTTTTTAAATTTAAGATGGTGACTAAAACTCAAAAGAAAAAAAGATTCTAACATTTTAGAAACAAATAATTAAAATCTCAAAAATTATATAAAGATCCAGAACCTTAAAAAATATGAATTTATAATTTAAATGTAAAAGCGAATAATAGAATTAGAGTTTACATTCTTTACACAATAATTTAAAATGTCCAATAGGGTTACATAAATGTTCATTCTAATAGACAAACAGTAATTAAAGAAATTAAAAAAAAAAGTGAATAAATAAGCATCATATGACTACCTTCACTAGCACTTAAAGGGAGTTTGAGTAGTAAATTATTCAAAACTCTTTTGCTGATCGGGATCTGAACCTTAGTTTTCTTGATCTGAAATTGTTAATAAAATGATGAACTACACTGACCCAGTAAAAATATTACACTAATCACATATATAGAAAATTGAAGATTGATAAAAATAAAAAAAATAACTTTTGGAGCTCTTACTTTAATTAAATATATTTAACTTAAAGACGTTTGTTTGATACTTATCGTAACGAGTTTTCTAAAAAACAACCTATGAAGACTCACATTCATACCTCTTTTTATTTTTCAAGCATAAGAGAACAAGAGATGACAATTTTTTTTTCTTACTTGCTTATTGGTATCTCTGGGGGTCCATATGGATGTTTTCCTACTCGTAAACCTAATATTTAATTTTAACAACTATATGACTATCCTCATACCCCGTCTGGTAATGGGCATCAAATATTCAATTGCCTCGATACCCCATCAGGAATGAGGGTGAACCATATCTCTCAAGTTTTTCTAGGATAGGACTTCACAACCCCGTTCGACTGAGGTAACATTCACGGTAGAGTTTCCTATGTACTAGTAAGTCTTTCACATAAAGATTTTAATTAACAAAATAACCAACAAACGCATACCAATATCTCATATTATATTTACATATAAACTAAACTACATTTATGCAGATGATGTAGCTTATCATAATAAGGGATCAAGCAACCAAATAACCAAATAAATCATATAAATTGATAAAACCATTAAAATTATAAACTAAGAATGTGTACAATACGATAACAAAAAAGTAGGACAGTATAGAAAAATAAACAACAAATTAGAACAATTGTGAACTAATCGATTTTACCTCCACTAGTGATCTGTAATTATTTTTAGAGTTTTTAAAATTTTTACAAAAATAAGAAATTATACATCTTTAAGCCCCAATTTACCGTAACAAAGAATAGGATGAGGTATCCTTATCTAGATCGGTATTTTGAGACATTGAGTTATCTACCACGCCTCTTAACAGGTACCATATTTTCTAATTTTTTTTTGCAGAATTCAAAACACTCGTCACATACCTAAAAATACTTCAAAAATCCAAAATCGGTGTCCAAAACTCTTTTCGGCCAATTTTAGAGTTCCGGCACAGCATTGTCACCGTGCTCCGACGCTAACTCTGTCATTGTTCGTTTCGGGCCGATTTTGGCCAGTTTTGGCCTATTTTACACATATCCCTGTAGAAAAACATGTTAAAGGGCCTCAATTTACCAGAAAGTCACAAAAAAAACTCGAACCTACCGACGATGGGGTCTCCAGGTGCGGCGGCTCTACTAGTCCTCCTTCGCGGCTAGGATTCCTTCTTTGACTAACCTACACAAAAAAGGATGGTGAACACAACGATTAGAAAATTACGTGAAACTAGAAGCAGAAAGGGGCTCATCGAATGGATTCTTTTGTTTTGGTCGCAGCAGCTCCGCCGACTTTGCTCGCAGTTTTTGGTTCACCAGTAGTCCCTCTTACTCTGATTTGGCCACAAGGATACTTGGAATCAAATTTCGAGCAATTAAGGAGAAATTTTACTTTTTTTAGCGATCGACGGTAGCTTTAGTGCGACGAAAGTTGGCAGTCAACCTTCTTCTCTAGTGTCTGGTTCTTCTACTCCAGCGGGGGCTGACGACTAGGGTTTGGATTCTCCTACGACACGAGATATTTATACCCATCCTACGCCGAACTAGACCATTCATCGTGATTTATCTCATCCATCCGATCGTGTCTAAAGAGAAAATAAATTTAGATCGTTTATTACAATTGATCTTGTCTTGCACCTAAGGAGGAAACAAATCTGAGTCGTTCACACGCCCGAGATCGAACTTGGGCCGTCAGATCATTAGGCATATAGATCGCCTGTGTGGCCTCCCCCACGGCCCCGATGTCAACGTGGCCGAATTTTTTCTATTTGTACTTTGACACTTTATTTCTAATTTTTCTTTCAAAAACACCATCTGAACTCAAATTTTTACTTATTTTTTTTAATTATTTTTAATCTCATCCTTAATATATTTTTTCTCAAAAATTTAATAAAATAAAATAAAATTAATTAATTAATTATTTCAATAAAATAATTTCATTAGAAAAATTTATCCGGGACCGTTTTTCGGGCTCGGGTATTAAAACTCTCCCCCTTAAGAAAATTTAGTCTCTCAAATTGGTCACTCTCTCACTCAGTCGAACAGCTGGGGGTTCTAGGCCTTGAATCTTGATTCAAGTTCCTAAGTGGTCTTTTCTTGCGTATTGTTCTACCATAGGAACTTGACGAAGGAAATTTCTTGATTGGGGAGTACTCTACTCTTCCGGTCTATAATATCTATCAGTACCTTCTTATTGGATAGATCTTTCTGGAGTGAAAAGGGCTCATGGGACAAGATGTGTGAGGGGTCTGGATTGTACTTATGTAACATAGATACATAGAACACATTTAAACTCTAGATAACTCTGGAGGTAGTACCAGTCTATAGCCAGTCGTACTAATCCAGTCTAAGATTTCAAATGGCTGATGAACTGGTGATTTAATTTTTCCTTTTTACCAAACCTACTGATCCCTTTAAAATATATGACCTTAAGAAATACTTGATCACATTTCTCAAATTCCAAATCCCTCTTTCGGGTGTCTGTATAACTTTTCTGTCTGCTCTGAGTTGTTTGAATGTTCTTCTTAATCTTAACTATCTTGGTTGTAGTCTCCTCCATAAAATCTGCACTGAATAATATTCTATCACTCACCTCTTCCCAACAGATCGGCGGCCTGCAGGGGCAGCTATACAATGCCTCATACGGAACTATACCGATACTTTTCTAGTAACTGTTATTGTAAGCAAACTCTATCAAAGGTAGGTGATCATCCCAATGGCCCCGAAGTTTAAAACACAAGCTCAAAGTACATCTTCCAGTGTACGAATCGTCCTCTCTGATTGTCCATCGGTTTGAGGGTGGAATGTGGCACTAAAGGACAGTTTCATTTCCATGACTTGCTGAAAACTAGACCAAAACTGAGAAATGAGCCTAAAGCTCTTTGTCGGATACCACTATCACTAAAACTCTATGTAACTTGACCATCTCCTGGATATACAATCTTACTAGCTTATCCAATGTATCGATCATCTTGATAGCTAAGAAGTGAGAAAACTTGGTGAGCCGGTCAATAATTACCCAAATAGCATCATGTCCTAAGCGTACCTTAGGCAACCCTGTTATGAAATCTATTATGATATATTCTCACTTCCACTCTGGGATTGGTAATGGTTAAAGTAGCATGCTTAAGCGTTAATGTTCTGCCGTAATCTGTTGACATATTAGACACTTGAAAACAAAGTCAGTTATATCTCTTTTCATCCTGCTCACCAAAATCGAGGTCACATATTTTGATATATTTTAGTACTTTTGGAATGTATGGCGAACTTTGAGTTGTGAGCCTCTATCATGATATCTCTCTTTAGTTCATTGTCATCTAGAACACACACCATATCTTGAAACTTGAGTAACCCGTCAGTAGAGACTCAAAATTCTAGATTCACTCCTTATTCTGCATCATTCTTAAGAGCTGCTAAGGCGAAATCGGTGGATTGAACTTCT